CAAAATAATTTTCTAGTGGATGTAGGATGGGGACATTACGTTAAAATTGCTTCTGAATATTGAAAAATATAATTGTAACTAAGTTTTAACTCATTTTTTTTATTTATTTATTTCTATAATACTTTTATAATATAAGAAATTCTTATTTAATTTTTTATATTATTTTTCTAATATTTATCTGTTTTTTTATATTGTAATTTGTAATTGCAAGTAATTAAATTAAGTAATTTGCAATACATTTCTGCGATTTTGCGTAATTTATAATTTTTAATCAATTAGGTACATTTTTCGAGTCATTGGTAAATACTAAATCTATGATTGACCAAACCTTTAAAAACTGACTTCGCCACCACTGAGGCTCTGATCAACAATAATCTTATATATAATGTATGTACCAAACTAAATTAAACTGCTTATTTGGCTGCTTTATAGTTTGTCGTTTTTAATTAGTCTGTTATGTCTGACCGTCCACCATGACTAACCGAAAACGGACTAGAGCAAATTGTACAATTCACTTCATAGTCATTAACACTCTATATTTTTTTTAAAAATATAAATTCATTCAGTAAATTGACTTTAACTTTTTGGTAGCATAATAAATAATAATTGTATTTTTAATAAATAAACTCAAAACAATGCTTGCTTATATTTGGCTAGGGTCTCGTCGGCAATTTCTAAGAATTTTAAAATTGAGTGTATAAATATACTCGTTTTGTAATAAAAATTATAATTCTTTGTTTTAGATCAAATATTTGTTTATTTATTTAGGTTACATAAAAAAAATATTTTTAATTTAATACAGATTATTTAGATGACCATACTTTTCAGAAAATTTTGCTTTTTTCAACAGTTTTTTGTTTCCTTAAACATATTTGATGAACTCTGCGCTAGTCGTGTTATAATTAACTTGGCAATGTAAAATTGACTCCATAGTTTCTGGGAGCAAGGGATTTCGTCCATCAGTCCAATAAACTAGACCAACTTAACGGAAAAACTCTTACGCACACGTTTAGTCGTACAAGTTTGAAAACATAATTTTTTATCGTATATATACAATAAAACAGAATTTGCAACATTTCAATTGCGTAGTTTCATTCGGGAGATTTAAGTCTTTTGTCGGGATGTAGGGACAGAGAACACAATAACAGTGATAGTCTTGATATATCGGGATGGATGGTAGCCCTATGAATTTATCTAACATCATCTATACCACACAATAATAAGAATTAACCAATAAAATATAGTCTATTGAAGTGGTTTTCAACATTTTTGGAATTATAACCCCTAATTTTTATTTTTTTTATATAATTATATAAATAAAATAAATTATATAAAATAAATTTTATATATTTATATATAAGGATATATATATTTATATAATACTAATACTGATAACTAAAATATATCTGAAAAAAAAAGTAATCACTATTTTTAAATGATAATAAACAATACAAATAAATTTTTTACAGATATATTTGTTGAACAAATTGAACGCGATAATGAGTTTTAGAAAAACAAAATAGAAACTCAAATAATTTGTTTTTACAGAAATTTAGGTTTTTTTTGGGGACACCCAATTAATTTCGTTGCCCCCAAGAAGGTAGCGAAAATAACTGGTTAAAAACCACTACCAGCAACTACAATTATTAGCAAGTTACCAGTTTCAAGTACCAGCAATAACTACTAGGTTGAAAACTATTGATATATACTATAAACTCTATAGGATATATAGTCATTACGGAAAAAAGTAGAACCAAATGAACATTTTGTTGAGTAAGAGTATACTATGAGAGGCGTTTAAATAATTTAGGTATAATGTAGAAACGGCCTGTTTCTACTTCAAGTTTTTTGGTATTTATATTTTTAAAAATGTTTTTATACATTTAATGAAAATCTATATTTTTGACACTATAAACTTAAATTCGAGACATTTTAATGACTTCTCGGGACACAAGTCATGAACTCGATTGTGTCTCGGCAAATCTGGCTTATCTGACAATCGTAGATAAAAGGTTATCATATAATGCAAGGATGGATAAGTGGCGGCTCGCGTACTTTTAATCTGGTTCGTGTTCAAATTACTTCATACATCTGTAGAGTTTATCAGTATTTCATTTTATTACGTTAGTTGTAATTGGATCATTATAAGTAGTATAGATTGTTCACTGATCAGTTTTTTGGTGGCGTAGAATATAGCTTCTGGTAGATTAAGATAAAATTTTTTATACATTTACATTTAACTGCTTAGATATATAATTTGTTAAATTAAGTATATTATACATTATTTATACATGATTTATACGATCAATTGTAATAGATATTACTCACAGCTTCAACGTTCTTACCAATTGTACTAAAAACAGTTAAAATATTTTGTCCTTTTAAGTTGCTGGATTATTGTGTTGACTGTATAAATATAATAAAATTATGTGCTTTATGAAATGTACATATTGTATTAAATTAATATAATAAACATCATGGCTATTATAAAAATTAGTTTTGATTAGGGTTCGAAAGTTATAGGAGTTGCACATTGTTCTGTATATTCTCGATTTATTGCAGACCAAGCTAAAAATCCGAGCTATACAATGCTGAGGTTAAAAATTAAAAGATAAAAATGCATATTTTGTATATTTCGTTAATTTTAGAGAAAAAGTGCATATTTCGTCAATTTATTTTATATAATGTTATATAACGCAACGCTAATAACGCGAAAAACGTGCATCATATAAAACGCAATACTATTTTTCGTGGTTATTTATTGTTATTTTTCATTGTCTTCTATGAATTTAAAGAAAATATTGGTGGTTCAATGCAAAACTTAACAGGTATTATACAATATATATTTATAGTATTTCGTATTTCACAAATAATGAAAATATATTTGTTTAACTATTTTTTCAATAATATCTCAAATTCCAACTTATTATGCGCCATATTTTAGCCTTTAATAATACAATTTTTTTAAATTTAGGTTTTTAGAATTTACTAATTAACTTTTAATAAATAAAAACAATTTTTTTTTTGCATATTTCACATTTTTTCATGCATATTTTTTCGTGCAAATTTGCATACATATTTTGCCTTTTTTGGCTCCTATAACTTCCAAACCCTAGTTATGATAATATTTGAATGGATTAAAGCTATAGCGGTGTAAGTCACAATTCCGTAAAAATAGAGTTATATATTGTAGGCGTATCTGTAAAAGTCAGTTTATTGAATGGCAAAGTGGAGTAATATTGTACTATCTGGTAGTAGTAGATAATACGAGTTATGACGAGTTATACATTTTCCAAAGTTCAATGAATTATTTAAATAATATTTAAAATGTTTTAAGAAAAAAATATTTTATTATGATTATGAGTATCATTAGTAAACTTATTTGTATATCTTTTTATAACGAATTCTAAATAATATACAAGTAATTTATTCAGTTTGATTTATACCTGTAGTTGAAGAAATTAAAAATAATTTTAATAACATTAATTAAATAGAACATCGTAAATAAACCCTAAATAAGCATTCATGTTCAGTTCTTTAACTTTAAAATAATGAAAAGGTTAAAAAAAAAACAAAATATGAAACATTTTGAGTGACGAGATTTTAGCTAGATATGACTGTCAAATTCTTGTTTAAGTGTTGTCAAATAGTTTTCCATATTATATTGCGGTCCTCCTTGCAGAATAATTATTGAATCCATGTAAACGAAACGTATTACAATCATACATCTTCATGCAAACGATAGCCGTGGTCTGGACGTTTCTCGACTTTTCTTTCGTTCACCATATTAAATTTATATTTATTGTTCGAGTCATACTCACGCAGGGAATGTCATTGCTTAAACGTCTTCGGGTCGTCATTATATTTTCTATTTATCATCATTGTCTTGTCATCGCGTTTTTGGTTGAGTTTAGACGTCGAAAACGCAACAGATTGGCATTGATGACTGTAAAGTTATATCACTCATGTTTATAATATTATAATATAAACTAATATTGATGTACCGGTGTTATCGCAACCCGACCGCTTTTCGCCGATTCGCATACATTTTGATTTTGATAATGCCTAGTTTAGGTTAGGGATGTTCAACAATATTTAATTACGTGAATGTTATGTGTAAAATCTGTTAAATGTATTCAGATATCTGATCGTAGAAATTTCTATAGTTAATTTTTTTAAACGAATTTCTCATATTATCAAGTAACATTAATTTTTGTAGTAAAATATTTTACATTCCTTTAATTATTTTTAGATATTATTGGTCATCTCATAATATTTTTAAAATAATTGTTGTAAATTAAAAAAAAAAAGAGAAAAAGAACCACCATAGTATAATTATTTTAATTTAACAGTTTTGTCATTTTCGACAAAATATCCTGTACGACCGTAGCACGGTGCGAGCGCTCGCAAATTTTCAGCCGGACCTGCATCAGTATCTTTAGACGGCGGCGCGTGATCTATTGCCGCACAGGTCCTCCGCCGTCGCCAGGTCAGTCTATCTATTATAATAACATAATGCCGTACGGTGTGCACGACGATGTGACGTATACTACAATGTCCTCCTGCGAGCGTGTGAGTGCGCGCGTATACATAATTCTATCTATAAAGTAGGTAAAAACACTCTCCCACCCATCCGTTTCGTTCCTCCGTCGCTGCTTCTCTATCTTCCCTACTTAATTTGTTTTTTATTTTTTTTTTCTTCTACCGTCGCCACCGCCACCGGTACGGGTCGTCTCCTGCAGCAGTTTCCTCTCTCACTGTACAAGATTATATTTATTTTTAGACCGCCCGCCGCCGTGGTTTGTACGCAGATGTACGGTATAATATTATATATTATTATGTAGACGGCCGCGGTGACGAGACGGTGTGTGTGTGTGTGTGTGTGTGTATATGTGTGTATGTGTTTTTGTGCACGCATATGTAGTAGCACCACCGCTGCGGCGACAATTTCACTCTTGTAGATTTATAGTTATTGACACCGTCGTCGTTTTCATTTGCAGATTACATCACCTTAAACTGTGCGGGAACGAGATGAAACAGAAAAAATAAATAATGGAAATATCCAACTGCATCGAAATTCCATTTCCGGTACGATGACGCCGCTGCGTTTCGTCTCCATTGCGCTCCACCAGTAGCGTGTAAAACGAACAAAGTCCGAAACACCACCGTAACCGCTGCCGATTACTACGTGTATTACCTTCGGAAGTATATTACGGATATTCAATCACGGTAAACTATAATATAAAATTCTTATTGTTGTAATAACATAATCATTATTGTTACGAACTGTAATAGGTATAATGCAATATCGTATAATGGTCGATTGCTGGTATATACTCTGTAAGAATTTTGGTAGACGACGGTTTAATAATATTACAATAATATTACATATGATTAGATTATGCAGCATTGTATAATTATGTGTAACAAGTTATAACGCGAGTATAAAACGTTATCAGGCGCCGCAAGCAAGACTAGTTTTAACCGTTTTGACCCTCCGCCGTGTGCTGAATGAGAAATCGGTCTTAAAAGCTGCAACAGCATTGACATCGTGTCAGTTAGACAATATTATTTTTGGGAAATGTTTCACACGGAAGAATAATACATATTGTTTAAGTCCAAGGACGGATTTTTTTTTGACACTCTTCTAAAACAATTCACTTAAGTCTTACTTACAGTTTATATTTTGGACTTTCGGGAAAGCCGACTCGTTAGAAACCGTATATATATAGCACGTGTAACGGCTCTCTGAAACGTCTGGATTAATTTTTTTGCTAAAAACGTTATAGATAGGAATAATTACTTGTATTCTTAGAAAAATAATTCATTTTTTAATATGTTTATTTATTATTTTTATCTCAAAAAAAGTATAGGTCTATATTTTATTTTCTAAAAGGTACATGGAATTAAATTTATATCCCTTTTTTTCATATATAATTATTATACATTTCAATGCATCAAAATATTTAATAATAATTAAAATAATTTTATATCATTTTTATTCTTTAACATATTATTTACTTATGTAGCTTTTAAGTTAATGTTACATAAATGTATTCGTAAATAGTAATCTCGTATGAAGAACTTTCATAAACATTTTTAAATTAAAAAAAAAAAAAAAAATACTGCATAAAGATCATAATCGATTACGGTTTATTACTGTTGTTTTGTAGTTTCGTTCTAATAATAATTAAACTGTGAGAAAGAAAATTATTCCTTTTTTTCAATAAGTATTATAATAAATGTATTTCTTGAAATATTAACATATTACCGAGTGTAATATATAATTATTAATATAGTTAATAATTATTTATACATGCGTAAGATGTTTAAAAACAATTTATTACATGATTTTATATGTAATATTTATAAACACAAAAATAGATAAAATTACACACAGTATGTAGGTTATATAAATTATATTATTGTTCTAAAAGAAAATGATGTCAAAATATTACCAGTCTAAAATTCTAAATTTTTTCACATTCGTCTAAATTAATATTATTATTATATATATGCAATTAATAAATTAACCTACTTGACAATTAATTTCAGAGTTTGACTCCATTGATAACATTTGTACCTACTTGTTTTATAATAAATGCATGATAAGGAAACATGATTAATTATTAAAATATTAACTAAGTATTATTAATTAAAAATGAGGAAAAATTGTAACACTACTTCATGTTTTTTTCAAAATCACAAAAAATAGATAACAATTATTTTTCGTAGTTGTATATGCCAATTAATTGTAAGAATTAGATGTTCGTCCGTAGTGACTGCAATCAAATAGTTGTATAGCCTAAGATGTAAAAATATGTATAGTTAATTATCTTTACTAACGTTACGGTATCCGTGCTCATTATTATTAAAAAGTTTTCACCATTAAATTCTTCCTATTATACACGTATAGTAAAATGTCTATTGACCATTAGTTTATCTTGTTTATTTTTTTTTATAAATACAGTGTAACAGTTAGTTTTTACACATAAATTAGTGACATTAATTAAACACATTTTTAAACAGACAACGAATTCAGACGATAATTAATGTACACTAGAAATTTATAACTTTTGAATTAAGTAAAAATAAATGAGCTATGGTTTTCATTGAAAATCATATTTTTATATTTCACAAAGAATTAACAGAAATTATTTCAAAAGTTGCTTGTTAAAATCTTAATATAGAGACACTATAATTTGCTCATCCCATATTTTACATGCAATTATTCGTATTACACTTTACACAATTATTTTAGGAATACTGTTGTCAATAGATGCTTTCTTATTAAGTATTTTAAAGTATATACGTATGTTTAGTTTTAAATCCAGTAAGGTGAATTGTGCCAAAAATTTAGAATTCAACATAAAACAAAACTATTTTTACAAACAAGTACAGATTATGACTCTTGAAGGTACTTAACTTATTTTTTCATTATAGCTACTATTTATTATTACAATACATGTTAAATTTGCGTGAATATTTAATCGGCACAAATAAAACCAATATGAATATTCAGTACTTTTATCAAAACACAATGACAAAAATTTATTTTTAATGCAAAGTAAAATCGTTCCACTTTATTAAAAAATGTAAAATTTAGATATTAATGCCAATTTATTCAAAGAGAATGTGAGTATAATTAAATACCTACCATTAATCTATGATAGGTATATTTATGCATGGCAAAAACATCAAGAACAAATGTTGAGTCTTTAAAAATTAGATTATAAACGTACAAAAAAAAAAAAAAGAAAAAACTGATAAAATAAATAAATTAACCACAAGTGTATAAAGTTAAATAGAATTTAATTTTACTATTTGAAAGTCTTAAATTAATATTTTGGTTGAGAATTGTTGATGTTTTAAATTTTGTGGAAAGTTAAACAGTTAGTTACACAATGGGATATTTCTTTTAACACTGGGCCTCACTTATAATTTATTTTGATAATACTTAAAAAAAAAAAAAATACGTCAAACTATCATCAGATAAAAAAGTTTATTTAGTTGGTACTTCAAAGAAAACAATTTTTTAATGTACCATTAATTTATAAAATTTTTTTTTTAAATTTCTTGTAAGTTACAAAATTTAATGAAATAAATTAACTTGTTTTTTAAAAATATTAGAAGGTTGATAAAGTAAAAAAACCAAATTTCTTAGTTAGGTAGGTTGAACTTTTAATGTTCTAAATTTCACAAAACCTTTTGTGAACTTTTTTGTTTTTATGATTATTATATTTTGAGTTACTATGAAAACAAAAATTCAATTTTGTCGAAAACCGATTTCCCGTAAAATGTGCTGTATATTTATAACTTTTTGTCAGTTTTGTACATTTATTAAGAAAACGGTATGGAAATTCCTAAAATCGCCTAAAATTACCAACTAAACATTCTTAATCAGAAATGTTTTATGATTTTAATGATTGAAGTGCTCTTGATCCAAATCATGATTACTATTTCAAAAAAAAAAAAATATATATATAAAATAAAATTGAGTGCCTTATAAAATTATATGCGATTATTAGCGATGAGTAGGGCTCAAAAGTTGTAAGAGTTTAAAATGGTAATATATGTACAAATAATTGAAAATAATCATGAATATATGTTAAATATGCAAACAAAAAATGGTAAGTTTTATTTAATTCAAAATTGTTCGACTAATTTTGATGGATTGTAATTTTGTCAATCTAAAAATAAAAATAAAGAATGAAAGTTATTTGACAAATTATAGTTATTTAATTTAATTTTAGTAAATATATAGATTATTAGAACTTTCATATCTATAAATTGCATTGATTAATCAGAAATTTCTTAATATTTTCTATATGAAACGAACGACGATGAAGTTATGGGTGCATATTTAAAGTGCGCAAAGTTATTCCCAATTAAGTCTTCTTGTAATTCTTTCATGTATGTAGTTTTACTAGTTAAAATGCTTGATGTTTTTTTAAATCATTAAAACCACGGTTATTATTTCAAATATTTTAAAATCGTTCTTTGATTACAATGCCTGCCTTGTCAATTATGTGCTCTACCTTATTTTCGACTGATTTTACTGTTGCTATTGATTTGTGTAACGGAAGTTTTTGTGTTTTGAGTTGCGTTATTGTTGCCTGTGAAAACCATAATTTGCATAAATTAAATCTAAGTTAATTTCCACTGAAAGGGTCATTTAAAATAATTTTTGCTTCTCTAGTAGAAACTGCATCGTTTGAATCTAGAAGTTGTAAAACTTTGTTTTTTGTTTTTGTTTAAAATATTGACAGCAGTATTAAACTACTAGTAGATTTAATGTCTCTTAAGTGTCCCTTAATGTGTTGGTATGTGTATGCTCCAGTAGAAGTGAAATTCTAGGAGCTTCAATTTTAAATAATATAGTACGAGACGACAGTTTTAAAAACACTTTTTTTACCCTTGATATTAATTTATCTACCTACGTTAGGAAATTACTACGTATTTCTTCTGCTCTTCTATGCATTCCGTAAGTTAAACATGTAACGTTCATTAGTTTTGTGTATAATGCTTTCATTACTATACCACGTTTTTTTGGGATATCTTTAAGGGAACATTTTTTTTTAGAAAGATCGAAATTCAGTATTCTTAATTTTATTAAGAGGAATATTAGCACACATTATTGATTTACATAGATCTTTGAGAAAATTCATTCTTTTTGAAGGTATTTGAAGACAAAAACTGTTATACAGTTGAAACCTTCATCTGATTATATAGATGATTTAACAACCGCTTATTTGTATTCATTTTTATATGCTGAGTAACCTTAAATCGTTTTTCGTAATTCACTTTAACTTCACAAATCATATGATACAAAATAGAATTTTACAGCAGTAGCGGCTTGTAGTAAATATTCCGGGGAGACTTAAATTATTTATCATTTACTCCACACAATAACGAACTAGAAAAACCCTTTTATTGGAAAATTAATTATACTTCATACTTATTTTAATATTCAGTTAATATTTATAACTTAATTTAATTGTAAACTTTTTTATGAATTAATTCAATTCGGCAATTTTTTTTTATCTTCAAATTCGCAGATGACGGTGTACATCGATTAACGACGGCACAATGGCACGGAAATAATTGTCGTGAACCCAGTTTCAAGAGCGTCTATAATACGCGGATTATTCTCCCCGGCCCCTTCCGTCCAACAAGCCAAACCATTACATGTTACGATTGAATCTATCGGACGTCAATTTCACTGAAAC